GCCTTTTTGGAAGCGCCTATGTGGCCGAACGTTGAGGCCAGACCTGCCAAGCTATCGGACCATGTGTTTCCCGGATCGGTTTGGAAAGCCTTCGGGGAGCACGTGGTCATCTTGAAGGTCATCTTGGCCGCCTGGAGGCCATTTTGACTCTTTCGGGCCTTCTTGGAGGACGTCTTGGAGGGCTCTTGGGCCGTCTTGGAGGCCATCTTGAGCGTCTTGGAGGCCTCTTGGGCCGTCTTGGGGGCCTCTTGGGGCCGTCTTGGGCCTCTTGGGCGATCTTTGGGGGCACTTGGGCCGTCTCGGGCCGTCGGAAGGCCGAAAAGAAGCAAACGCCACAATCCTTCAAAGCTCTTGGGAAACCACTAATTGTTACCTTTACGGGCCTTGCTGGAGGCCCTCTTGGAGGCCTCTTGGGCCGTCTTGAGCCATCTTAGTGCCATCTTAGTGCCTTGGCCCGTCCGACGCCGTCGGAAGGCGTTTGGGGGGCCTCTCTGAGCCGACTTGGGGCGCTCTTGGAATGCTCCATGGCCGTCTTGGAGGCCACCGTGGGCGTCTTAAAAGCCTCCTGGGCCGTCTTGGGGGCCTCTTGGGGCCGTCTTGGGGGCCTCGTGGGTCGTTCTGGGGCCATCTTGGAGGCCTTTTGGGCAATCTTTGGGGGCTCTCGGGCCGCATCGGGCCGTCGGAAGGCCGAGACCAAGCAAATGTCACAATCCTTCAAACACCTATGGATAATTAGTGTTTTTGGCCTTTTCTGGCCTTCCTGGAGGCCCTCTTGGAGGCCTCTTGGGCCGTCTTGGGCCAGCTTCGAGCCAATTCCGGCCATCTTGGTGGGCCCCTGGCCCGTCCGACGCCGTCGGAAGCCGTTTGGGGGGCCTTTCTGGGCCGACTTGGGGCCCTCTTAGGGTGCTCCAGGGCCATCTTTGAGGCCATCTTGGACGTCTTGGCGGCCTCTCGGGTCGTCTTTGTGCCCTCTTGAAGCCGTCTTGGGGGCATCTTGGGCAGTCCTGAGGCCATCTTGGATGCCTCTTGGGCGCTGTGGGGGCGATCTTGGGGGCCTCTCGGGCCGTATCGGGCCGTCGGAAGGCTGAAACGAAGCAAATGCCAGCATCGTTCGAAAACCCAAGGGACATCAATCATTTTGGTCTCTTCGGGCCCTCCTGGAGGACCTCTTGGAGGCCTCTTAGGTCGTCTTGGAGGTCTCTGGGGGGCCTCTTGGGCCGTCATGGGCCGTCTTGGACTCTCTTGGGCCGTCTTGGAGGCCGTCTTGGACCATTTTGGGCGAACTTGGAGGCCATCTTGGACCATCTTGGAGGCCATCTTGGGCCAACGTGGCCATCTTGGCGCCATCTTGAGCTGTCTTGGAGGACAGCTTGTGCAATTGAGGTCCTTTCCGGGTGGCCGGCGGGACGGGCCGAAGCCTCAGGGGGAGTTCTTTTGGAAAAAGAACCAAAACCAAAACCGAGAGGGTTCAGCACGCCAGGCACCCCTGTGATTAATCAACAGGGGGCGGCGGATCGAAAACGCCTACGGCGAATCACCGCCGCCTGCCTTTTGGAAGCGCCTATGTGGCCGAACGTTGAGGCCAGACCTGCCAAGCGATCGGACCATGTGTTTCCCGAATCGGTTTGGAAAGCCTTCGGGGAGCACGTGGGCATCTTGAAAGTCATCTTGGCCGCCTGGAGGCCATTTTGACTCTTTCGGGCCTTCTTGGAGGACGTCTTGGAGGGCTCTTGGGCCGTCTTGGAGGCCATCTTGAGCGTCTTGGAGGCCTCTTGGGCCTCTTGGGGGCCTCTTGGGGCCGTCTTGGGCCTCTTGGGCGATCTTTTGGGGGCACTTGGGCCGTCTCGAGCCGTCGGAAGGCAGTAAAAGCGCAAATGCTACGACCTTTCAAAGCTCCTGGGAAACCACTAATTGTTACCTTTTCGGGCCTTCCTGGAGGCCCTCTTGGAGGCCTCTTGGGCCGTCTTGGGCCAGGGCCATCTTCGGCCGTCTTGGTGGGCCCCTGGCCCGTCCGACGCCGTCGAAAGCCTTTTGGGGGGCCTCTCTGAGCCGACTTGGGGCGCTCTTGGAATGCTCCATGGCCGTCTTGGAGGCCATCTTGGGCGTCTCACAAGGCCTCCTGGGCCGTCTGGGGGGCCTCGTGGGTCGTTCTGGGTCCATCTTGGAGGCCTCTTGGGCGATCTTTGGGCGATCTTTGGGGGCTCTTGGGCCGCATCGGGCCGTCGGAAGGCCGAAATGAAGCAAATGTCACAATCCTTCAAAAACATGTGGGTCATCAATGATTTTGGCCTTTTCTGGCCTTCCTGGAGGCTCCCTTGGAGGCCTCTTGGGGTGCTCCAGGGCCGTCTTAGAGGCCATCTTGGGCGTCTTGGAGGCCTCTTGGGTCGTCCTTGTGCCCTCTTGCGGCCGTCTTGGGGGCCTCTTGGGCAGTCCTGAGGCCATATTGGAGGCCTCTTGGGCGCTGTGGGGGCGATCTTGGGGGCCTCTTGGGCCGTCTTGGGTCGTCACAAGGCCGAGAAAAAGCGAATGCCAAAATCCTTCAAAAACCTAAGGATAATCATGGTGAGCTCTGTGCGACATTGATATTACGCCAGTCTCCGTCCCCTCTCATGTAGCTTTTCGGCGCAAAAGGTTCAGATGCAAGCCGCCGCGCCCGTCCTCGCGCAGGTCGCGGGATACGCCGTCGGCTGGTGGAGCAGCGGCGGGCAGCGCTGCATCTGCTCGTGCGAGGTCTCGGGCAGCGTGGACCGCGACATCATCGGGGTCCTGCAGCGCCAGCTGGATCGGTGCGGGCCCGACCAGCTGACCTCGCCGCCGCCGACCACCTGCCACTGCGACGCGGGCTCGGCCTGGGTCGGCGCGGCGGCGGGCTTCGCCGTGGGCGTTGTGGTCGGCGTTCTCCTGTGCCTGGTCGTGTACTTCCGCGCGGCTGCCCGTCGCCCAGATGTCGGACCACCCGCCGGCGCCGAGCTGGCTGCGATCGCTGATTCCGGGGGCTCGCCTGTACGTGAGGTACCCGGGCGAGGACCTCTGGCACAAGAGGCTTCTCTGCGGGCGCGTACGGGCGGACGGGTGGTCATGGGTGGTCCTGACACCGACTGAAGACCAGCACGAGGAGGACTTCGTAGACGCCGCCGAGATCTTGGCCTGTGGGCCCAAAGGCGGCACTCCAGTAAAGTTGTATGGCAAGCACTTGTTCAGGATGGAGCACCGCTCCAACACCCCCTACTCGGACTTCATGGCGGCTGGGCTGAAGCTGGCTGATGAGTTGGTCAGCGCAGGAGGCGGTGGTCCTGCACCTCCTCCTGAGGCGGGGCCCTTGGCCCCCTTGGCTGACGCCGACGTGGAGCGCGACCCCGCGACCAAGTGGATCTCGCTCGAGTCGAGGTTCGGCTACGCCGCGGGCGACCCGATCGACGTGGTGGGCCAGCCCTTTCTGCGCTCGGGCGATCGTGGCCTGCTGGAGCTGGCGGAGGGGCCCATTGCCGTGGGCATCTCGGACACCGCGGTCACAGGGCTCACGCCACGTGCTGGGCCGCTGGACAGCCGCCTGCTGGGGACGAGCTCGGACGCGACCTTCAAGCGCCAGAGTTTTGCCCAGCGCTCCCAGCTCCTCGAGACGGGTGACAACCAGAGGTGGATGGTGCAGGGGCCCCCGACCATGCGCTGGGTCTGCCTCGCGCGCGTCGAGGGCAACACTACGCCCAAGCAGCGCCATTTCTGGCGGCGTCAGGTCCTGGGTCTGGTTCCAACGGACCCTGGGGTTGAGGAGCATAGTTTCTTGCGCGAGCTGATCGAGACCGCTGTGGCGAGGGGCGGCATCAACGTGGCGGCCCTGGAGTCGTTCGAGACGGTGTCGAGGCGCTTCCAGCTCAGGGAGGAGTTGTACGCGGAGGCGTTGCGGATCGCGGAGGCTGGCGACCACGGGGATGACCTGGACGAGAGGAGGCTCTTCCTGGGGAACCACCGGAGCAAGGGCCTCGCGATTCTCGCTGGAGTTGGAGCAGCACGTTGCCACGAAGCTGCAGGAGGAAAGCGCGGTGCCCAAGGAGCGCCGCAAGGGTCGCGAGGAGCGGAGGCTTGCTCGCACGGACCCGACGCGCCCATCTACTTCTTCGGGCTCTGGCGCCGCGGCATCTGGCGCCCGGCAGCCCCCGGGGCAGACCCAGCCTCCCGGACGTGGGAGGGGGCTGGGTCGCGGGCGGAGCTGACGCTTCGCCTCTCTCTTCATCCGGCTGCCCACCGTCGCCCCCGGGCGGTTGGGCTTTTCCCACAGGGGATGCGCACTTGTGGTGGTGGTGCGCTCGGCGATTATCGAGATCATGGAGGTGCAGCGTGACGTGCTGCCGCTGCCGCTGGGGGCTGCCCTCAGTCAGGAACTGCGTGGAGAGGTTGCTGGACCTGTTCAGCCTCGTTCGCGTCGGCTCCGACAGCTGCGTGCACAAGAGAGGTGGCTGCGTGAGGGCATCGAGGCCCTGAATGAGCTCGGAGGTCGTGGAGAGACGGCGGATCCCCATCGTCGCCTCTCCCTACCGCAAAAGCTTGCTCTTCGGCACCTCGCTCGTTCTTATGGCCGCGTGGGTCCTCCGCCTCCCGATTTTGATGCCCACGGAGCGTTCAGGGCGCTTCAGGGTTCGAGGTGCGGTTATGCGGACTCGCTGACCGATGGCAAGGTTGCTGCTTGCAGACTCTACCGCAGGGCAAGCTGGAGGCGTGTCTCTCTTGAACTGCCTTGGGCCTGAGCTGCAGTCAGTTTTGGTACGTGGTCAGGGTCTCCTTCGCTCTGATCGCGATCGCGACGACGTTCTTTTAGATGCTCCCAGGGTGCCGGCTATGAACGTCAACTTGGGCAAGGGTGGCGCCGACTACGGGCGCTTCCTGGGGGAGCTGTATGACCTTGGGGCTATCGAGGTGTGCGAGTCGCCGCAGGAGGTCTACGGGCTCTTCTTCGTTCCCCGCAAGGATGGGCGTCTACGTCTCATTTGGGGCACGAGGCGCTCCAACGCACACTTCGAGGTGCCGCCCTTCACCGCCTTGCCGTCTGGTGAGGCTCTGGCTGCTCTTGAGATTGACGAGTCGAACGCTGGGCAGAGGATAGTGGCACCTAGCGCGGATGTGGAGGTTTGCTTCTACCAGTACGAGCTGCCGTCTAACCTCCGCCCGTTCTTCGCTCTTAAGTCTGTTGACCTTCGGTTTCTGCCTCGGCGCGTGCGCGACCAGGTCAGCCAGCAGCCCACCAACGGCCACATTCAATTTCAATCTCGCGTTGTGCCCATGGGATGGGCCTGGGCCGCGCACCTCGTGCAGCAGGCGCACATGTCGTTGCTGAAGGATGTGAGGCCGCTCGACTCCTGGGTGCTGGACAAGGCGCCGACGGAGCCGATCAGCGCTCCGCACTTGGCTAAGATACTCTACATCGACAACTTTGCGTCCATCGGTCCTACACGGGCTCGGCCAGACGCGGCCACTGCTGAAATGATCACGCCGTTAGCGGATGCTGGGGTCAAAGCTGACATGGACCCGAACTCTGGGACGTTTGGGGTGCACGACCTTCTTGGCTTCTCGTCGGTCGAGCACCGTGCCACTTGGGCCCTCAGCGCTCGCAAGTTTTGGAAGATCAAGGGGGCGCTGGACTACGTGGTCTCGTCCAGCCAGGGCTTCGCCGGCGCGGAGATGGAGCGGCTGCTGGGGCACTTGGTCAGCTGCTTCCTGCTCCGCCGCGAGATGCTCTCGCTCTTGTACGCGTCGTGCACCTTCGCCCAGGAGACCGAGCTGCGCCGGGTGCCCCTCTGGCCGTCGGTCCGCAAGGAGCTCCGGTGGTGCCGCGCGTTGCTGCCGCTGGTGACCGCGGACATGTCACGGCCTTGGTTTCCTTTGATCACCTCCTATGATGCGAGTCCCTGGGGATATGGTGTTTGCGAAACGTCGGTCTCGGCATCACAGTCTGGGCAGATCGGGCGGCTGAACGATAGATGGAGGTGGAAGGGGTTGGTGGCTACCAATCGTCGGCCTCGGGACGACCTCACGGATCTAGACGATGTCGACGGCGACTCCAAGATCCCACGATATCGGGGCACGATCCTCTCGGCTGGTGCAGTTTCGGGCTTTACCGAGGTTGATCCTGGACTTCTGAGAGACGCCGCCTGGGTCACGGTCGCAGCCAGGCCCGCTTCTGCTAGCCTGCCTATTCATTTGCTGGAGGGATTTGCTCTGCTCCATGGAGTGCACCGCGCCTCTCGAAACAGTCGGTGTCATTCTCGTCGGCTCGTCTTCTTGGGGGACAATATGAGTCTTATCTGTGCGCTATGTAAAGGGCGGGCAACAGATTTCAGGCTTAACTCTATCTGTCGGGAGGTCTTGGCTATCAGTCTGGCTTCGGAGTTCAAGCTGGCCCACAGGTGGATCCCCTCGGAGAGAAATGCTGCTGATAAGCCGTCTCGTCGGTACATGCCGAAGTGGAACAGGGGCCTGTTGCCAGCTTCTGGGCTCAAGGATGATGAGGGTAACGCCTCCTCGCCGTCGTTCAGCTACGCAGGCGGGGCTTCCGGCTTCGCGTCAGATACCGCCGCCCTCTCGCCCGAGGCCTTCGTCCGGGGCGCTGGTGGCCGCTGGGGATCCTGCGGGGTCAAGCGCTGCCACCCAGCCGCAGAGCGATGCGCCGCGCGCCTGGCCGCGCGCGTCCGCCTCGGCGCGCCGCCCGGGCTCGGGCCCCCGAGAGCAACGGTATCACGTGGAATTGCAGCGCCTTCTACATCGTCTGGTGCCTCGTCTTACTGGCTTGCAGGCCAACCGCATTCGCGAGGCCACGCAGCTGGCCTACCTGGGCATCCTCGAGCAGCTGGTCTTCTTCATGCAGTGCCGAGAGCTCCCGCGCTTCTCGGCCAAGGTGTGGGACGTCACCCTGGTCGACTTCATCGAGAGCCGCCACGACGATGGGGCACTCAAGGGAGGCGACCGTCAAGGTCCTCTACGCGCTGCTGTGGGCATTGCCGCTTCTGGGAGGGCCTGCTCGGACGCTCTTCCCCCGAGCCTTCGCATCAATGCGAGGTTGGACGCGGCTCAGCCCTCCTGCATCGCGGCCGCCGCTGCCCAGGCAAGCCGCCTACGCCGTCGCCGCGAAGCTGCTGGACTATGAGCAAGAGAGGGCGGCACTGTGGTGCTTGGTCATGTTCGAGACCTACTGCCGCGTCGGGGAGCTGCTCGCGTTGCGAATGTTCCAGATCGCGCCGCCCGACCGCCACTCGGCTGGGGCGGCAGGCTGCCCCACCATTGTTCTCAATGCCTCGGAGCTCCAGGCCCCCTCCAAGACAGGGGAGATGGACAGCAGCATCGCCTTCGATCTGCCGGAGCACCGCTGGGTGGGGATGCTGCTGGTGCTGCTCAAGGAGGCCTTCGCTTCGCAGCCCATGGAGCACGTGGTCAATGTCTCGTACACTGTCTTCCTCTCGCTGCTCGACCGAGCGGCTCAGGATCTGGGCATCCAGGCCCTGCAGCCTACGCCGCACTGCTTCAGGCACGGTGGGGCCAGCCACGATCGAGCAGCTGGGCGACGCCCATTGCAGGAGGTCCAGCGCTGGGGCATGTGGAAAGTTCCAAAGCACGGCAGAGTCGGACTGCAGCTGCAACTTCTGCCTCAGCATGTGCGAGACCGTCTCGAGCATCTCATGCATCGCGTGGAACACAACTTCAGGCTGCGCTTCACCAGGCTCTTCGGCCAGGCAACCGGCTCAGGTTCTTCCTCGAGCTCTTCGCGGGTTCTGGCGAGCTCACTGCGTCCATGAGGCGCAAAGGCGCGGCGGTGTTGGCATTCGACGTGAACCAAGGACCACATATGGATCTTCTGAACGACGACGTCTACTCCCGCCTGCGGGGTTGGATTTTGTCTGGATTGGTGCTTGCAATCTGGTCTGGGACTCCTTGCGGAGGCCTCGCACGAGCTCGGCGTGGGCCTCTTGGTTCTCGGCTACCACGTGCCCTGAGGAGCCCAGAGTTCCCTCAAGGTCTTCCGAACCTCGAGGGCCGCGACTTGGAGACCTTGCAGCAATCCAATGTACTCGCTGCAAGGGCACTTGGTCTTCTCCAACTTGCTGCCGCGCGAGATATTCCAGGAGGCGAGGAAAATCCGAACACCAGCTATTTGTGGGACCTGCCGTCCCGTCAGAGATTCTCGGAAAAGTTCTGCACCACTGACTACATCGTGGACTACTGCGCCTGCGGGCGCCCTTTCAGAGCAAGAGCGCGACTCAGAATTTTTAACATGCATGCTTCACGTAAGTTGCCGCGTCTTCGCTGCCATGGCCGCGGCGCGTGCGACTTCTCAGGCAAGCCGCGCCAGAACCTGTCAGGAACCAAAGTGGGAGGCGGTTTCTTCACAGCCGCCAAGGCGGCCTACCCTCGCAGATTGGCGGACATCTTGGCTGATGACCTCTTCATGGCCTATGCTCTCCGGCGAACTTCGAGAACATGGAATCTTCTACGGTGACCCAGTTGCAGTGCTGGATGTGGGTATGTTGTTCTGAATATGGGTTGATTTGAGCGTGGCTCAGCACGCTCCTCATCGACTCAGCTGGGCTCCTGTCATGCAGCAAATGATTGGAGAAGAAGTTATATCATGGTGAGCTCTGTGCGACATTGATATTACGCCAGTCTCCGTCCCCTCTCATGTAGCTTTTCGGCGCCCGCCCGAACGCAGCCCTTCTTGCTTCACTTATACAAAGAGCGTCGAATTAAAGAACTGTCGTGTGCACGTGCAAGCCCGTGATCCGTGCAGGGTTGATTTGAGCGTGGCTCAGCACGCTCCTCATCGACTCAGCTGAGCTCCTGTCATGCAGCAAATGATTGGAAAAAGAAGTTATATCAATGGTTTTGGCCTTTTCGGGCCCTCCTGGAGGACCTCTTGGAGGTTTCTTGGGCAGTCTTGGAGGCCTCTGGGGAGCCTCTTGGGCCGTCTTGGGCCGTCTTGGACTCTCTTGGGCCGTTTTGGACCATCTTGGGCGAACTTGTAGGCCATCTTGGACCATCTTGGAGGCCATCTTGGGCCAACATGGCCATCTTGGAGGCCATCTTGAGCCGTCTTGGAGGATTTTGTGTGGACGTTGAGGTGGTTTACGCGGCCTTCCGGGGCCCCGGCGAAACGGGCCTAAGCCCCAGGGGCAGTTCTTCTGGAAAAGAACCAGAACCGATAGGATCTGGCACGCCAGGCACCCCTGCGATGAATCGACAGGGGGTGGCGGATCGAAGACGCCTACGGCGAATCACCGCCGCCTGCCTTTTTGGAAGCGCCTATGTGGCCGAACGTTGAGGCCAGACCTGCCAAGTTATCGGACCATGTGTTCCCCGAGTGGGTTTGGAAAGCCCTCGGGGAGCACGTGGGCATCTTGGCGGTCACCTTGGCCGCCTGGAGGCCATTTTGACTCTTTCGGGCCTTCTTGGAGGGCGTCTTGGAGGGCTCTTGGGTCCTCTTGAATGCCATCTTGAGCGTCTTGGAGGCCTCTTGGGCCGTCTTGGAGGCCTCTTGGGGCCGTCTTGGGCCTCTTGGGCGATCTTTTGAGGGCACTTGGGCCGTCTCGGGCCGTCGGAAGGCCGAAAAGAAGCAAATGCCACAACCCTTCAAAAACATGTGGGAAATCAATGATTTTGGCCTTTTTCGGATCTTCCTGGGGGCCCTCTTGGAGGCCTCTTGGGCCGTCTTGGGTCTTCTTAGTGCCATCTTCAGCCGTCTTGGTGGGCCCCTGGCCCGTATGACGCCGTCGGAAGCCGTTTGGGGGGCCTTTCTGGGCCGTTTTGGGGCCCTCTTGGGGTGCTCCAGGGCCGCCTTAGAGGCCATCTTGGGCGTATCGGAGGCCTTTTGGGTCGTCTTTGTGCCCTCTTGGGGCCGTCTTGGGGGCCTCTTGGGCAGTCCTGAGGCCATCTTGGAGGCCTCTTGGGCGCTGTGGGGGCGATCTTGGGGGCCTCTTGGGCCGTCTTGGGTCGTCGCAAGGCCGAGAAGAAGCGAACGCCAAAATCCTTCAAAAACCTCCGGAAAATCAACGATTTTGGCCTCTGCGGGCCTTCCTGGAGGACCTCTTGGAAGCCTTTGGGGCTGTCTTGGAGGCCTCTGGGGAGCCTCTTAGGCCGTCTTGGGCCGGCTTGGACTCTCTAGGGCCGTCTTGGAGGCCGTCTTGGACCATTTTGGGAGAACTTGGGGGCCATTTCGGGCCATCTTGGAGGCCATCTTGGGCCAACGTGGCCATCTTGGCGCCATCTTGAGCCGTCTTGGAGGAAAACTTGTGCAATTGAGGTCGTTTCCGGCTGGCCGGCGGGACGGGCCGAAGCCTCAGGAGGAGTTCTTTTGGAAAAAGAACCAACACCAAAACCGAGAGGGTTCAGCACGCCAGGCACCCCTGTGATTCATCAACAGGGGGCGGCGGATCGAAGACGCCTACGGCGAATCACCGCCGCCCCCTGCCTTTTTGGAAGCGCCTATGTGGCCGAACGTTGAGGCCAGACCTGCCAAGTTATCGGACCATATGTTCCCCGAATGGATTTGGAAAGCCTTCGGGGAGCACGTGGGCATCTTGGCGGTCACCTTGGCCGCCTGGAGGCCATTTTGACTCTTTCGGGCCTTCTTGGAGGGCGTCTTGGAGGGCTCTTGGGTCCTCTCGAATGCCATCTTGAGCGTCTTGGAGGCCTCTTGGGCCGTCTTGGGAGCCTCTTGGGGCCGTCTTGGGCCGGCTTGGACTCTCTTGGGCCGTCTTGGAGGCCGTCTTGGACCATCTTGGGCGAACTTGGAGGCTATCTTGGACCATCTTGGAGGCCATCTTGGGCCAGCATGGCCATCTTGGAGGCCATCTTGAGCCGTCTTGGAGGGTTTTGAGTGGACGCTGAGGTGGTTTACGCGGCCTCCCGGGACCCCGGCGGAACTGGCTCAAGCCCCAGGGGGAGCTCTTTGGAAAAAGAACCAAGACCGATAGGATCTAGCACGCCAGGCACCCCTCCTGCAAGCAACAGGGGGCGGCGGATCCTAGTGGCCTTCGGCCAATCCTGCTACCGTGTCTGGGTTGTGGGTCTGAGGCCTCTTGTATATGTGTTGGGGTGTCGTGGGGAGCCTCTCTGGGGCCTCTTGGAGGCGCTTTCAGCGCCTCTTGGGGGCCTCTTGGGGCCTCGTGGGTATGTTTGTTTTGGGCCTCTTGGAGGCCTCTTCGGCGCGTCTTGGGCGCCTCTTGGGGCGTCTTGGGGCCTCCTGGGGGCTTCTCGGGGCTTGTCAGAACGCTTCTTGGGCCACCTGGGAGCCCTCTCGGGCCGTCTTGGGGCCCTCTTGGTGGCGTCTTGGGCTGTCTTGGAGCGGTCTTGGAAGCTTCGTGAGCCATCTTGGAGTTCCGGAAAGCCAGACATGCGCGAACCCCGAACTCCTTCAACACCTTTTTGTAACATCGACGATGTTGGCCTCTTGGGACTCTCTCGGGAGACCTCGTGGAGAGCTCTTGGGGCCGCTTGGGCCGTCTCGTAATCATCTTCGGGCGCCTTGGAGAATGCTTGGCCTCGGCATTACGAATGGCTGAATTTGCGAGGGTTCATGGCGACGTGGACGCGAATACGGAATAATTCACAAGGGTTTGTTGCCTCGGGGACGCAATAATTTAGTAATCTGCACGGGTTTGTGGCCTCGGGGGCGCAATTACCATGTCATTTACAAATGGTTCTGGCTTCGGGGACGCGACTATTGAGCAATTTGTTATGGTTTGTGGCCTCGGGGACGTGAAAATTGATTAATTTGCAGAAGGATTCTGGCTTCTGGGACGCGAGCATTGCGTAATGTGAGAGGGTTTGTTGCCTCGGAGGCGCAACACTCGAGTAATGTACGATGATGTGTTGCCTCGGGAGCGCAAGAATTTACCAATTTCGGGGACTCGGATATTGCTTATTTAATTAAGGTTCGTTGCCTTGGGAACGTAAATATTGTGTAATTTGCGAGGGTTGCTGGCTTCGGGGACGCGAGTACTGTGTAATTTACGCTGGGTCGTTGCCTCGGGGGCACAACTGTGGCGTAATTTACGGTGGATCGTGGCCCCAGAGGCGCGAATGTAGTGTAATTTACTTGAGATCGTTGCTTCGAGTGCGCGAGTATGGTGTATTTAATGGGTATCGTGGCTTCGGGGGCGCGAATGTGGTGTAATTTGCATGGGATCGTGGCCTCGGGGGCGCGAGCGCGGCGTAATTTACGAGGGATCGTGGCGTCGGGAGTGCGATGTTGTGCAATTTACCGGGGATCGTGGCCCCAGAGGCGCGAAGGTAGTGTAATTTGCGGAAGATCGTAGTCTCGGGGGCGCGGATACGGTGTATTTTAAGAGGGATCGTGGTTTCAGGGGCGCGAGATGTAGTGCAAGTTACGGGGGATCGTGGCCTCGGGGGCGCGAATACATTGCAACTCACGAAGATTATTGCGTCGGGAGCGCGAATCTCATGTATTTTCACGTGTCCCACGGCCCCGCAGGAATTCAGACAGACAACGCGATTCGGGGGTGGTAACCGGACGCTTTTCGGCTCCCCCAATCGCGCGGACTTCAACAATTTACAATAGGAAGCAGAAAGCAGGACTGTAACATTGGAGACTGGAAACTGGAACTGGTGAAGTGTACTGGAACCTAAGCCTCGCAGCCTGATGGTCCCACAAGGGGGCTGGCGGATATTATATATGTATATAGTCTGCAAGTGTGTGTACACATACATTTTGTGCAGGGAGTTGTTTCCACTCCCGTGTTAGGTTATCGTTTCGAAATCGAGCGCTGCGGTCGCGACTCCTCCTCCTCCTCCTCCTCCTCCTTCTCCTCCTTTTCCTCCTTTTCCTCCCTCCTCCTGCCTCCTCCTGCGCTGCCCCCTGGGTGGCTGCGATCTGTGCAACCGTCGCTATTTTCGTGGGCTCCTGGGATGTCCAGCGTAGTCGGGGGCCACGTGGATCCAGCCGAGACTTCGCGGCTCCCTGGGAGGCTACGACGTGCGCAATTGTGACCAGTTTCGTGGGCGCCTGGGAGGTCCAGCGAAGTCGGGGGACACGCGGATCCAGCCGAGGCCTCGCGGCCCCCTGGTACGTTGCGAATTGCGCCACCATTGCCCGTTTGTTTCGACACCGGCTCGTATTCCTCTTGTGCGGATGCCTGCGTGGCGCCGTTGTACGCCCTGGCGCGGCCGATTCGATCCGATTTTCGACTCCGGGCCAGCTCGGCCACCCGCTTCGAGGCACGCTCTGGCCCGATCCAGCTCCTCGGTCCGATGCCGCTAGCCCCCGCAGGTTCGCGTACGTGGCGGTGCTCTGGGGCTCCGACCCGGACTACGTCCTCGGCGCGATGGTGCTCGCGCGCTCGCTGCGGGCGAGCGGCACCGCCCATGACCTCGTGCTGCTGCACACGGCGGCCGTGCCCGAGGCGGCGGCGGCGCTCCTGCGCCGGGCTGGCTGGCAGACCCGCGAGGTGAGGGTGATGGGCCAATTCTCCCTCACCAATGCCATAGGTAGGACGGGAGAGAAGGGGGGATGGGGAGGTCCTCCTCCTCCTCCTTCTCCCCCTCCTCCTCCTCCTCCTCCTCCTCCTCCTCCTCCTCCTCCTCCTCCTCCTCCTCCTCCTCCTCCTCTTCCTTCTCCCCCTTCTCCTCCTGCTCCTCCTCCTCCTCCTCCTCCTCCTCCTCCTCCTCCTCCTCTTCCTCCCTCTCCTACATTTGGTAGTGGTTGTGGAAAATCGGCCCATCAGAGGGAGGGCGCTGCAGGGAAGGGTTCCCCAGCCCTTGGCGCGTCTCGCCGGCGGCGGAAGTCGGCGGGAGTCCAAGGATAGGGAGCAGTACCGTTCGGATGCAACTCCTGGGCGGTCAAGTTCTGACGTTGCCCTGGTCCGTCATCTGGCTTACTCCTGTTTAGTTCCGCTCTCTCCAGATTGATCCCGCTCAATCTGGCCCAACCCCGCTTAGTCTGCGGCCTCATCTGGCGCAGCAGCCCCCCGATGGGGCTTGATTCTCCTCAGCCCTTCCGACGCAAACCTCCCGGCAGTTACCTCCTGAGTGTCGCTGCCCCACCGCCCTTTCCCTCGTCGCCATGTCTGGGCCTGCCTTGAAGTCCTCCAGGCGCGCCCGTGAGAGAGGTCCGCGGAGCGGTGGTGTCGAATCATCTGCCCCTGCCCCCGGGGGAGGCCGGCGGAAGGCAGCGGTTCCGCTGGCGGGAGGGCGGCGGACGTGGACGCGAGGCGGCCAGCATGTTTGGGCTCAGGGTTTCCAGGGGTCGGCCGGAGGTGGAGACCGTGAGGGCCACGGACGCCCTGTCTTCGAACGCGTGCCCGCGCTTCGTGGAGGTGTTCACGAAGCTGCACGCGCTCGGCCTGGTGGAGTACGACAAGGTGCTCCTCGTGGACGTGGACACCGTGGTGACCGGCAGCAGTTGGGGGGACGTCCGCCGGCCACACCGATCCTGGCCGGCGCCATGCTGGGCGCGGGATCGGTGTTTATACGCTTCCCCGGCCAGGCCAGGTGAGCCCGGCTGTGACGGGCGGAGGCGGGCTCGGAGGACGAAGACGAGTATTTCTGCACCGCCGTGAGGGACGCTCGGGCCAGACGAAGGGGGGGGATTGGGAAAGGGGGGGGTACGAAATCTGCTGCATGCAGCTGGTTTCGGCTCCGCCGCCGGGCCCAGTCCTATAGATACATGGGCGCCTCGCGGCGCCGGGAGGCGCCGGGAAAATCAGCTGCGTGAGCTGATTCTCAACCGCCCCCTTTGCTATCCCCCCCTTTCGCCCGGCCCGAGACGCTTGCCCCAGGGCGGCTGGAAAAACTGCACCCCGACGGTGGCATGCCATTTTTTTTTGTTGTCAGCCGCCCTGGCGCATGCGTCCCCGACGGCGGAACATGTTACGCTATACCGTTTTTCTCGTCCGCTAGCGGTCAGCCGACGTCGCCCGAGCATGGACGCACTCTTTGAGTTGCGCGCGCCCGCAGCCATGGCGCGAGGCCCCTGCTCCCGGTACCGCCACGGAGAGGCGATAGACGGCCGCTGGTTCTTCGCCGGCGCTGGCGCGGGCAGCGCCTCCTGGAGCCAGGTGGGCGGGATCAACGCAGGTCAGGCAGTGTCAAAGGGGTCGCCACCAAGGGGTTCGCCAACTCCCCCTGAGGACCGAGGTTCGAGGATATCGGGGCCAACGAGATCGTGGACGAATCTGGGCGTGTTGGTAAGGTCTGGGGTGGTTTCCAAGTCGGAGATCGACTACAGAATTGGTTGAAGTCGGAGATTGGCTACAGAGTTGATTTATCCCAGAATTTACTTGTTCGTCGAATGTGCGTAGATCTACACCCGTTCGATGTATCTTGTCGTAGGCCCGACGCAAATTTCAATTCTTGGGGTAAGGCAACTCTGCAGTCGAGCCCCTGCTCGAAATTTGGCAGGCCCTGAGGCATCCTCTGCCTCGAGGGGGCGAGTCCTGGTGTTCAGTCGGGCATGTTCCTCCACAGGAGGAAGATTCAAGACATAGGAAAAAGACAGTCTGAGGATGCTTCTCGTGCTTTCTGAACTATGTTCGAACATATGTTGACTCTTTTTTGTTTTCGAGGTTTCTTCCAATCATTGTAGCAGACAGTCTGGGGACGCGTTTTCGTGCTCTTTGGGCTATGTTTGGGCATGCTGTAACTATTTTTGAGTTTCCAAGATCTCCCTGTAGGAGGACATGCCCGACCTATAGCCCTGGTGGGGACCCCCTCCTGTATCGTTGCCTGGACCAAAAGGCGTGATGCTCTGGCGCCCCAGCGCGGAGGACCTCCGCCAGATGCTGAGCGAGGTGTGCAGCCCGGAGCACCCCTCCCACATCAAGGGGAACGGGCCCGAGCAGGACTAGGAGGAGGAGGAGGAGGAGGAGGAGGAGGAGGAGGAGGTGCAGGAGGAGGAGGAGGAGGAGGAGGAGGAGGAGGAGGAGGAGGAGGAGGAGGAGGAGGATGGAGGAGGAGGAGGAGGAGGGAGGAGGAGGAGGAGGAGGAGGAGGAGGAGGAGGAGGGAGGCAGCAAAATGTAAGCCCTATCGTCCCGACGCTGCGCCACCTCGCTGGGCGGATGTACCTCTCGAAGAAGAAAAGACGGCATAAACATAAGCTTTTGGCGCTCCGCGTAGATTTCTTGGATCTGCGCTGGGCCCCCGCAGGCGGCGCCTCCAGCGCCGCCCCTGGCGCGGATCCAAGACATCCGCGCGGAACGCCAAAAGTTTATGTTTCTGCCGTTTCTGTTTCCAAATTAGAAAAAACAAGCCTAGGCCTCCCAAATGGGGTTCGAGCAGATGGGGTCGGAGGATCGCGCCGCATCGCCGATGCATCGACGATGCGGCTCGATGCGGAGCCCGAATTTCTCCCCGCCGACGTCGCCGATGCGTCGCCGATGCGTCGGCGATGCATCGCCGATGCATTGGCGATGCGGCGCGATCCTCCAACACCATCTACTCGGGCCCCATCTAGGAGGCCTCTAACTTTCGACGCTGCGCCACCTCGCAGAGCGAATTCCGTTATGAAAGCAATGGGGTTGGCCCGGATGTTCCCGGAGAGTTTCGTTCCGGATTTCGAGGTGGATCTCGTGCGGATTCTTGTTGGGGCCAGGACGGAGCACCACAAACAAACATCCACGTGACATTCGTTTCGCTTTGCGCTCGCCGCTTCGAGATATCGCATGGACAGAAATCCACGCACAAATCCGCTGCAGCACGTCCGCGAGGTCGGTGCAGTGAAACTTGATTCCTCGGAGTGTAGCGGTCTTGCAACAAATAATGTTCGATGAGGTAAATATCAGGACCTGGTGCTTCAGCAGCGCGCGTCGGCGAGAACCAAGATGTGCAATCCAGTTGGGAGCAGCAGAGATTCAAGAGTATGCTGCAGCGCCTGGGTGTGGCAAGGAAGGCTCCCCCCCTCATCTAAACCTCACCACCCTCCCACTTCACGTTAACCCGACCCTCCCAGAGAGTTGGCCCTTAACAATAGCCTACAGCGCACAGGGCCCCGAGCAGGACTACCTGTCCCGCTTCTGGGCCGACAGCTGGTCCAACGTCGGCGTAGAGTACAACTTCCAGCTGGATCAGATGTACTACGTCCTGAACCCAGACCTCACAGGCCTGGGCCTTTCCCCTGCACTCTTCTTCTCCCCTGGCATCCTGCCTCTTGGTCCTGCTCCTCATCCTTCTCCCCCCCCTGACGGGAGAAGGGAGCAGGCGGAGCTAACCTCTTCCTACGAGATACTCCTCCTCCTCCTCCTCCTCCTCCTCCTCCTCCTCCTCCTCCCCCTCCTCCTCCTCCTCCTCCTTCTCCTCCTCCTCCTCCTCCTCCTCCTCCTCCTCCTCCTCCTCCCCTGTACCAGGCTGGGACGTTTACTTCTATCCCTACGATTGGCATCGCCTCATCTCGATGTCGGTCTTAAGGGTCCCCTCAGATTTCGGTGGCGCATCCCTACGATGGTCATCGCCCTTTGGCTTGCCAATCTCAGGGATGGGGATCAGTTCGAGGCTGGTGGTCCTCCTCCGTCCCTCGCCTCCTCCTCCGCTGCCGCGGCCCCAGCACTCGCCACCTCCGGGCAGCACCCGGCTGCCTGTGTTCGGCTCCTGCAGGAGGAGGCCGGGCAGCGGGGTGTTCGGCTCTGCCGTGTGGCGCGTGGCCGAGGAAGGCCCCAGCTTCGCTCGGCGTCTCTTCGCGAGCTGTCTGTGCACGGCTCCTCCAGGGGAGGCCAGGCTTCTGGGTGTCCGCCTCTGCGGTGCGGTGGGTGGCCGAGGGATCTCCCATCTGCGCTCCGCGTCTCTTCGGCGGCGTGTGGAAGAGCGGGCTCGACGTCTCAACCCCTGGCAGCTCAATGATTGATGAGCACCCGCCCAGGGTCATTCCAGGCTACCTTGCGTCTTAGGCCATTGCTCCCTGAATCAACGCCCAAGTCGCCTTTCGATTTTTGCTCCTCCGCATTTCACTTCTGACTGTCTTCCTGCGTCCCGCCGCTCGCTCCTTGTACCCATACCTGCAAAACGGCACCCAGGGCAAGCAGGCAGGCCTGACGGCATGCCGCCACCAACCCTGGCACCTGCACACGTGCGTTGCTTAGCAGATCCTCTTGGGAGGTCAGGCGGCTCCTTGAAGCAGGAGGTTGAGGAGGAGGAGGTGGAGGAGGAGGAGGAGGTGGAGGAGGGCAGGCTGAGGCGAGAGAGGGGGTGGAGGATGGTGGAGGAGGGAGGGAGGGAGGAGAGGAGAGACGGGGGATGAGGACGCGGAGGAGGAGGAGGATGAGGAGGAGGAGGAGGAGGAGGGAGGAGAAGGCGGAGGAGGAGGAGAAGGCGGAGGTCAAGGACTGATTCTACAAGCCTCGCCAAACATCAACTGAGGCGCCGTTAAAAAATCGTGGCGCTCGGTAGTTCGGACACTGCGTTGCTGGATCTGGGACACCCTCGCGTCTGGGCTGATATTTTTGCGCCAGCATTGAAGTAGCGCCGGCCGCACCAGCATCGAAAGCAAGAACCGTCAGTTCGTTTTTGATGAGTCTTGTACGTTCGCAGGCGTCAGGCTCGCTTCCACTGGCCAGTGTTCATTGCGTTCTTGCCCGTTTGGCCTGGGGGGGTTCGCGTCAGTTCCTTCCCTCATGGCCGCGCGCGTCCGCGCCGACCGCGCAGTCCTTGGGCGGCGACGGCCGATGCCGCCGTCGCCGAGCAGGCGGCGAGGGCCGCGCGCGAGTCCCTCGAGCAGTCGCGCGGGCTCGGACGGCGGCGGCGCCGCGTCTCTGCGCGAGCGGGGCCGCGCGAGGGGTGCTCGGCGCGCCGCCGTGGCGCGGGCCCGCGGGCGGCGGGCAGGCGCTGCCCATGGCGGCGACGTCGCGCGACCGCGCGACGAGCCAGCGCTGGCGCGCAGCTCGGGCCGCCGGTCCGGCAGAGAGCCGCCTCTGCCGAAGGGCGCGGCGGCGGGGCGTCTGCGCCGCCGCCGCGCAGCTGCCCGCCGCCGCCCGCCCACGTCAGGCGGGCCGTCGTCGACGTCGCCGCGGCATGCGCTGCGCGGGACAAGTGCCCGACGGCGGCCAGGGCGCCACAGTTTGTGACAAGGAGTGGTGGCCGGGTGGTTGCGCAGTTTCCCCGCAATTGTCCGGCCGTTGTCCACTCGGCCCTGTTCTGTTTGGTATGGGTGGCAGTTGCCGATGCTGCGGCGATGTATTTTTTGTTCACACTTGCTACCCAGCTGTGTCTACTGTACCTGGTTCTTTTTTTGAGGATGATGTGGCCGTTTCTTGGGTGCTTGCGGGCTTCTGTCCTAAAAACGACGACGATTGGGGTCTTTCATTTTGTAGAACAGCGCAAGCACCCAAGAACTGTCCCATCATCCCTGATTAACAAGACAAGGTGCGGTGGACACAGCCGGGTAGTTTTTGCGGAAAAATATCGCCGTAGGATCGACAAGTGTTTTCCATACCAAAAACAATGGTCGAGTGGACAGCGGCCGAGTAGTTGCGCAACTACCCAGCCGCTATATATATATATATATATATATATATATAAACATGTGGCGCGGTGGACGCTGTTGGGTCGTTGTGTTAAATGTACAATGCCGTAGCATCGATGACTACCACCTTGCACTGTTTGGGCCCATGCTGGAGTACAATGGCCAAGCCTCGTGCAACATAGGCTGGCCGTTAAACATCGTGGCGCTCGATAGCTCGGACATTCGTCAGAAACCGCATGTCTCAATGCTGTGAGCGTGTTGCTGGATTTCGGACACCCTGCGCCTGGGCCCAATTTCTTTCGCCATCATCGAAGTAGCGCCGACCGCGCAAACATCGAACATAGACACCGACTGTTTACGTTTGGCGCCGCCTGATCCCTGGGCTTCGCCCGTCCCTGGCCGCATGAGGCCCCGCCTTCTTCCGCCCTTTCTCTGTGCCAATGAAAGCTGTGCGCCTCCCGCTTAGCTTTCGGCGGAAGAGGCTCGCTCTCGCCCTGCAGATCCAACAAAAAACTGCTTACGTTCGGCGTGTCCTGTCGGACTCGCCACCGGCGC